CAAAAGTAAAAGGAGTTTAAATACAAATATTGTGACTGTGCAAGTGCTTGTGTGTAACGCACAGAGTTTAAGACTGATTTATAAATAGTAAAATGTTTACAGCAGAATGTCAAAACAGTGCAACGACTGTTCACTTGCAAGTTTTTGCTAGTTTTGTGTTCATTAACTTTTTCTGCTAGTTTACTCTTCTTCTCAATTTTACGCTCTATTTTGCTTTTACGCTCTCGCTGCAATGTTTTACTGGAGAAGTTACTATACAAACCTAATAATTTGGGCGCGTCGCATTTCTCTTTTCCTTTTCACATCATTCCCGAAAACAGAGACACTTGAAGTTTTATAAAATGATAAATTATGTGATTTGCCTACCAAAACAACTCGAAAATCACAACCAACCAACCAACCAAGCAAAGCCTTATTAGGTTAATAAGTGAAACCATAAATTTAGGTACAATTTGCAAACCGGCAACACTGAACGTGCCCGCCGAACGAACAAATACTCGTTCACTATTTTGTTCGTTCGTTCGCTTGCGCCGCAAAATTATGCACGAATATCATACAGGTTTTTTTGTTTATAACANCCGTTCAGAATGAATAAAGAAATTCAGCCTATAAGTAGGTATACAATTTTATTATAAAAAAATTAAATCAAATTTACTTATCCCTAATTTGTCTGCATGCTGCATGCTGCATAAATGAAGAAATAAGCGCGAATTCAAAGTCGAGCTTTGAAAATTAGTGCTACACGAATTAAAAGCTGTCAACTATTCATTTCTTTAGGGATAAGAGGGAAATATAATACAAATACTCTTCCTTCCCACTCACTCCCTTTAGCGAAATGTAAAATTTGGTATTTGCGTAATAATTATCTAATTATTTTCTTCTAACCTAAACAAACTGTAAGGATTAAGAGGACAGTATTATCAGTGCATCATTCAACTTCGGTTCAATAATAATTTTGGCGTGTCCCATTTCTCTTTTCCTTTTCACATCATTCCCGAAAACAGAGACACTTGCAGTTTTATAAAATGATAAATTATGTGATTTGCCTACCAAAATCCCTCGAAAATCACAACCAACCAACCAACCTACCAAAGCCTTATGTTAATAAGTGAAACCACAAATTTAGGTACAATTTGCAAACCGGCAACACTGAACGTGCCCGCCGAACGAACAAAAACTCGTTCACTATATCGTTCGTTCGTTCGCTCGCGCCGCAAAATTATGCACGAATATCATACAGGTTTTTTTGTTTATAACATAGCGGAAAATTAGTTTTAATTATTAGAGTAAAAGCTTTCATATTACTAAATTCTTTTACTGATACCCTATAATGGAATTAACGAAATTTCTAAAAATTTCAGCTGCATTTTGTCGGAATGCTGTGCACAGGTGTAGCAAGATAAATTTATATTTCACATAACATATCTGTGTTGCACAAGATGCATTCTTGTCAAATTGACAACTAAAAATTCTGGCAGCTGCCTTTTTCGGTGCATTTGCGTTTTGCTTCTAAAATTTTCAATTATTTTGTTTTCCTCCAAAATTTGCAAAAATTCTTCGTAAAATCAAATTAACGTTACAGCATCGTAAAAGAAAATCGAAACATAAACAACAAATACAAACGGAAGGTCCCGGAAGTGTATCAACAGTTGCCATTGGAGAAGTGGTTAAAGCCATAGATAAATCAACAAACGGAATCGGTGACATCCCCAACATGGATAATACAAATCTCAACCGAGTGCTAAATCAAACCTTACGTCATCCACTACATGGACTGCTTTTCAAATATACCAATGTCATGAAAGGTGTGTATAGAACTTTACAATTGGGGGCATTACAAATATTCCATTAAGTATGTACTAATTTACAGGCTGGCNAAAATTTCAGCTGCATTTTGTCGGAATGCTGTGCACAGCTGTAGCAAGATAAATTTACATTTCACATAACATATCTGTGTTGCACAAGATGCATTCTTGTCAAATTGACAACTAATAATTCTGGCAGCTGCCTTTTTCGGTGCGTTTGCGTTTTGCTTCTAAAATTTTCATTTATTTTGTTTTCCTCCAAAATTTGCAAAAATTCTTCGTAAACTCAAATTAACGTTACAGCATCGTAAAAGAAAATCGAAACATAAACAACAAATACAAACGGAAGGTCCCGGAAGTGTTTCAACAGTTGCCATTGGAGAAGTGGTTACAGCCATAGATAAATCAACAAACGGAATCGGTGACATCCCCAACATGGATAATACAAATCTCAACCGAGTGCTAAATCAAACCTTACGTCATCCACTACATGGACTGCTTTTCAAATATACCAATGTCATGAAAGGTGTGTATAGAACTTTACAATTAGGGGCATTACAAATATTCCATTAAGTATGTACTAATTCACAGGCTGGCAGTACCGTTGGTTCACGGTTGACGCGCAGACCGGCACACTTAGCTACTTCTTGTGTGACTCGTCCTCGTCTGGCGATGAAGCAACGCCATCGGCACAGGTTTTGGCTAGTGCGCCGCGAGGTCAAGTACAGCTGGCAGGTGCTGTAGTCTGTCCGAGTGACGAAGATTCACGCACATTTTCCATAGGTTGTGCCTCTGGCGATACGCTTAAATTGCGTGCTGCCGATGCACGTTCACGCCAAGAATGGGTGGATGGTTTGCGTGCAGTTGTAGAAAGTCATACAAAAGCAATGGACATTAGCAATTCATCACCACTGCCGCCACGAGAGTTGCTCGCCGCCTCAGATGCGATGGTTTCGGCGAGACAAGCACTCTACCTAACCGAACAATGGTGAGTGGAATGAAAATGAAAAGTTATATTTTAGCCATTATATCAATGTTGCATGTCTATAAATTTGAATCATTACAGTAATGCAACGTTAGCGCGTACAATTGAAAATATCGAATGTGAAACNGGGGGCATTACAAATATTCCATTAAGTATGTACTAATTTACAGGCTGGCAGTACCGTTGGTTCACGGTTGACGCGCAGACCGGCACACTTAGCTACTTTTTGTGTGACTCGTCCTCGTCTGGCGATGAAGCAACGCCATCAGCACAGGTTTTGGCTAGTGCGCCGCGAGGTCAAGTACAGCTGGCAGGTGCTGTAGTCTGTCCGAGTGACGAAGATTCACGCACATTTTCCATTGGCTGTGCCTCTGGCGATACGCTTAAATTGCGTGCTGCCGATGCACGTTCACGCCAAGAATGGGTAGATGGTTTGCGTGCAGTTGTAGAAAGTCATACAAAAGCAATGGACATTAGCAATTCATCACCACTGCCGCCACGAGAGTTGCTGGCCGCCTCAGATGCGATGGTTTCGGCGAGACAAGCACTCTACCTAACCG